ATAATGCGCCTTCGCACACAGCACTGGTTTTTTGTGAGTTTTTTGCCAAAAACTCTACCCATGTTGCTCCACAACCACCGTATTCACCCGACTTAGCACCGTGTGACTTCTGGTTGTTCCCAAAGCTCAAGAGACCACTCCGGGGAAATCGTTTTGAGTCCATTGAAGAGATCCAACGTGAATCGGCACGCGCATTGAAGGCTATCCCTACCGAGGACTTTTCGGCATGCTTCGAAGACTGGAAAAAATGTTGGCAAAACTGCATTGGGGCCGGGGGGGGGATTATTTTGAGGGGGACGATACAGATTTGGAAGAATAAATAAAGATTTTTCATTTTATAAAAAAATTCACCTTACTTTTTGATCACAGTAGTAAAATCATATAAAAAGTTTATCATGCCATACAAAAGAAATAAGAAATAACAAAAGAATAGGTAAAAAAGATACACAATATGTATAAAAAATAGCAGCTAAACAGAAATTGTCATTTGTAAATGGTTAACTTGTTTATTCATACCAGGTTTTAACCATTCTATAAACATACTTTCTTTACGTTTTAGCTCAAACTTGTTAGATGCCAAATCTTATACAAAAACACATGTCATTTATTTGCATGAAACAAATAAATGACAAGTGTCATTTATTTGTTTCATGCAAATAAATGAAAAAACCCATATATGTATATATACATATATATATATATATATATATATATATATATATATATATATATATATATATATATATATATATATATATATATATATATATATATATATATATATACATATATATATATATATATATATATATATATATATATATATATATATATATATATACATATATATATATATATATATATATATATATATATATATATATATATATATATATATATATATATATATATATATATATATATATATATATATATATATATATATATATATATATATATATATATATATATATATATATATATATATATATATATATATATATATATATGGTTGAATTAGGTTATTTTCTTTTCTACTTTGGATTCAGAATCTTCAAAAATGGTTAGGTACCAATTTTCAGTCAGTTTTTTCCAATAAAACTCAAACTTTTGAAAGTACACTTTAAAAATTAAATGGTTTTATTCAAATTTTTATACATATTAAAAGAGTTCATCCCTTTTCTTAGGCAGTCTTTGTGAAATCAACTTGGATACGTCTTTGTGAAATCAACTTGGATACAGCAAAGTATTTATGCAGTAATGACAAGTTCGTAGTGCCAGGCGAAAAGTTTTTGTCCACAATGCAGACATAAATTAGCATCAATTGAAGAATCAGAAGAGAATGAGTTGAAGATAAATTTAACTGAAGATATTATGAAAAAAGAAATTATACTGCAATCAACAAGATCATTGCTCAACAATACTTTGTGTGAATTAAAAGTGTCACTAAAAGTTCATTTACCAAAAACCTTTACTTGGAACAAGAAAGATAAAGCAAGTTGAATAAGCAGTTACTAAGAAACTTGCAACTGCTCTGTCACCAAATTTAATCTTGTTGTACCAAATAACAATAAAGTTCTAAAGAAAATTCAAACCAAAGCTGGCGATTTAGACTTCCTTGTTGAATGCATGAAAGAAAAACTCAAAGTCTCTAACAAAAAACAGCAACTTCAAATTTTGACATTTACCCCAAAATCTTGGTCTATCAGAAAAGCAGCAAAAGAGTTTTCAGTTTCAAAACACGAAATTCAAAATGCAAAGCTTTTATGTGACCAAAAAGGCATCATAGCATACCCGAATGCGGTTAAATGGCATCAAATCAGTAAAGATGTTATAGAACTTGTAAAGCTTTTTTACTGTGACGATGAGTATTCAAGGCCAAATGCCAGGTAAAAAAGACTGTGTAAGTGTTAGGTCAAAAAAATTGATTTTGTGTAACTTATATAAGATTAAATACCCAGACCATAAAATTAGATTTTCTAAATTTTACAGCTTTTGGCCTAAATGGTACATCCTTGCTGGTCCAAAACGTACAAATTCTGTTTGTGTGTGTACAATACACCACAATATTTAATTAATGTTGAGTGCTGTAGGCCTTGAAACATCTTACCATGAAATCATTGAAAAGATTGTCTGCAGCAGAAAATTAAAAGCTTGTATGATTCACCGATGCAATAGTTGTCCTGGCATACAAGCTGCCCAAATTTATTTCCAGCAGTATCTCACACAAAATGATGATCTAAAAAAGCAATATGACAGTGACAAAAATGAAGAGTCAGTGGATTTCAAACAGTGGACAACAACAGATAGGACCGAACTATTAACAATAAAACTTCCCTTAAATGAGTTCATAAAGCTCCTGTTTGAAAAACTTGATAAAATTACTTCTCATTCATTTATAGTAAAATCACAATCTAGCTATCTTTAAGCATCTCAAAGAAACAATTAGTATTGATGAGACTATTTTACTAGCAGATTTTGCAGAGAACTACACTTTTGTAGTACAAAATGAGATACAGAGTTACCATTGGAGCAAGAGTCAATGTTCTCTACATCCAGTTGTCATCTACTACAAAAAAGTGAAATTAAAAATATCTTCTTTTTGTGTAATTTCAGATGATTTGAATTATGATGTTGGATTTATCAATGAATTTATGCATAAAACAATTAATCATATAAAAACTTATCTCTGTCGCGCAATTACAAAAATTCATTATTTTTCTAATGGCTGCCCAGGGCTTTATAAAAATTGCAAGCATTTTAACAATTTATGTCACCATGCTCAAGATTTTTCTGTTCGGCGCATCTGGAATTTCTTTGCAAAAAGCCATGGTAAATCTCAATGCGATGAAATAGGTGGCACTGTTAAAAGGCTTGTTGTAACTGCTAGCATGCAGAGTCCAACCACAGGTCAAATACTGTCTTGTCAAGCAATGTTTGAATACTGTCAAAAATCAATCAGTGGAATTACGTTAGTGTACATCCATGCTGAAGAAATGGAGCTAGTGAGAATCAAACTTACTGATAGACTTTTAATAGCAACCACTATTCCTGGGACAAGAAGTTTCCATCAATTTATACCTTCTTCTCATTCAATTATAAAAATGATAGGGGTATCAGATGATGATGATTTTGCTCTAATATTTGACTTCAATAAACAAAAATATGAAATTAATAAAATTGACTATGGTATGATGTCACAATACCTATTTTGCAAAATATGACGATTATTACTGGCTTGGTATGGTTTCTGAATTTGATAAAGAGAATTATGGTTTTAGGGTAAAACTTATGGATCCACATTATCCAAGTTGCTCATACTACTGGCTAAAGCCAGATGATAGTTGTTGGGTGTTAAAAATGAATGTCATTTCTCTTGTTCGAAAGTCGTCAACATCTTCTAGGCGTCAGTACCACATCTCAAAAGAAGATGAAACTCTATTTGAACAGCTTTTTTTTTGTCAGTGAAAGTTGATGAATATTTTCTTTCTTTATTTAAATGATATAAACTTTAATTTTAGTAATATTTGATTATTTCTTTTTTTTTTTTTAATTTTGAGCTTTTTTCAATAAAGCAGATTTTTTGGTACTTTTCAAAAAAGATTGCATTTTAGTTTCTCATTTTTTAACACAACATTTGAGCATGCAATCTAATATTTAAGCATGCAACCAATACTTTGAAACAATACCTTTGAAATTAAACATGTTTGAATAAATTATGAAGTCTGTAGATTGTGGCATATATTTTGAGAGACTAGCTAAAATGGAGACGGCAAGCATTTAGCGTCTTGGTACACCTTTATTGTTTTGTTTTACTTAAAAAAACTCTACCCAAACATTTTTTTTTATCCTTGTCTTTAATATGAATACAACTTGTCTCGGCACTTTGGCATCCCTTAACGACAAAAAAAAAAAAAAAAATGATCTAAGTTTGTTGCATCAAGCAGAAATAATCACTAACGGAAAAATCGGGCAAAAATAATCACATACTTTTTACAAAATATAAGCTTATTAAAACTAAGACTTGAAATTCTATTGAAATAGCTAAAAAATCAAAAAATCCAGGTACCAAAAATGTGGAAAGACTCAAACGCTCCAATTTTTTTTCACAATATTTTCACTGTTTCACCTCTGATATTTGTATAGTTTTAGAAAGGAATATAAGAAAAATAATTATTCAGCATTTTTTTGATAATAATTTGATAAATAAGAATTAGCATTGTTTTTTACCAGGTCAAATTTACTTGAATACCATTTCAACATTTAGCAATCAATCAAGAATATCTTATCAACATATTTTTTTTTTGATTTTTCTAAAGCATTTGACAGAAATCAAAGAAATTGAAATGTATGGTGCAATTAGTTTATTTTATAAATGGATTGAGTCCATTTTATAAAACAGAAGGCAAAGAATAGAAAAAGAAATAGTAGAGGTATTCTTGGAGATATTGCTTTTCTATGACTAGTATTTTAAGCAGTACCCAAGTCTCAAATCTAGGATCAATTTTGTTTTTAATTCATATCGATGATCTTTCAGATAAACTAAAAATATAAACAAAAGTTTTATGCAGATAATAGCAAAGTTTTCAAAATAATCCGTGATAACAGTTATAGTGATCTTTAGGATAACAAATTTTATTTTTAATTAGCGCAATGACTTAAGTATACAATTAAACAAATATAAGATTACGCAATTCACAAAAAGAACAAAAATTAACATAAATATTTTAAGCCTAACATCCAGACTAGTGTGGTTTAAACAGGTTTCCGTAATGCCATTTTCATATTTCAATATTATGGAATAATGGAATTTTTTTACAACTGGATGTTACATTAACCTGTTTTGCAGATAAATTTTCATGATTCTACCATTAGAAAGATTATTATCTAAGATCCTCCTACCCCTTACCCCATACCTCCTATCCAACCCTTACCCCAAATATATGCGGGTTTTATAATTCTCCTTTTATATAAATAAATAATAATATAAATGATCTCACCTTTATGATCTTGGTTTTAGACAGAAATATATTTTGAGTTTTCAAATCTCTATGAAGAATATTTTCATTGTGCATGTACTAAAATTAGAAAAGAATAGCCCCTGTATATATATATAAAAGAAAAACATCAAATAATTCTCTTAATACAAGTAATAATTTATAATTAGAACTTTTTGTTTGATTGTGGTTACAAGCATCATCAACTGAGAAAATTATACAAAACTTTTTGAATGTTAAAAGGGTTTTTAAATTAACTGATGTCAGCAATGGAACAGGTTCTTTCTTTTTTATGCAAGTGCAATGAGCATTAAAGTCACTAAAAACAACAATATTGGTTAAAGGATAAAAAGAATTTGGTCAAGTGCATGATCAGAAACAATATTGAAAAGAGTGCAGTCTTGAGATGAAGTAGAGCGATATAGAACAAAGAAAAAGGTGATAGAGTAAAGTGGTGCTAAACGAAAACACATATAAGAATAGTCTGTGTATTCAAACCTACTTTTATGAAAAATGGGTGAATTCTTACAAATGTAAATGTCCCGGCGAAGCATGTGATTATTGGAGTCTTTACAAATTAAAGGAAGATAGCCATCAACACTAATATCACAAGATGAGACAGCTGAACTCAAATTAGTCTCACATAGAAAAGGCAGGTCTAAACTTGGCAATAGATAAGACTTAACAAAAGAAAAGTTACTTTGAAGACCATGATTATTAGCGAATGATTGATTTAGAAAACTTGGCGATGATAATGGAATTTTGATACTTTAGTCATTTTTTAAATTGGTTAAAGAACTTGACGCAAAGCACAAGCCTTCCCAGGAAACACGTACAGTTTTTTGTCTTGTATATCCCCGTATGAGTTCTATTTTAGACAACTTGGTCATGGTTGTTTGCAAATTTTATAATATTAGGGTTAAGTTTCAAAAACAAAAAAAGCAAACCTAACAAAAAAAAAATTAAAATAAATTAAAATAAAAAAAAATTAATAATTTAAATAATTTGTGTACTGTTTTTATTTTTGTTTCAATAGGATGGCTGTTATTTTCAACAACAAAATTACATAAAGCAAAGTAAAGCAAAGCAAAAAAAAAAAAAAGGTTTTTAGTTGACATTAAGAAGAATGATTTTTCTGTATTTTATTTGTGTTTTTTTTAAAGAAGAAAGTAAAAATATTGCTATCTATTTGTAAAATATATTTGTATAACTTTGATGTAACAAGTATATATTGTCCCTATATGAATTGTATGTAATGCATGCATATATAGTTTTATGTATAAATTTTTTCATTATATAATTATTATTTGTCTATAAGTATTCCCACATTAGGCCTATCTAAATATGGCAGTTACTTTGTATATGGTATGTCAGTGATTTGAATCCCACCACATCCAAAATTGTTCTTTTTTTTTTACCCGCACCCTTTCTCTTGGTCTACTGTTATTGGTGAAATATACGAAAACAATTATTAATAACTAATATTAATAATTGCATAACAATTATTATTAACCATTATTAACAATTGTTCACCAATAATATAGTAGACCAAAAGGGAGAGGCCGGGTAGAACTAAGTGTACAGGGCTGAATGTTAAAAAAAAAAAACAGGTATCCAAAATTACAAGGCGCTAAAAAATATTGGCAGACCAGAATGGAAAGTTTACTAATATTGATTTAATGTATAAATATAGGTAGAAATACATTGTTATAATTCAAACCAATGCACAAAATGCAATCTTTTATTCATTTAATAAATGGCTCTTTGATTTTCCCTTGAACATCATGAACAACTACTTTTGGTTCATGCATGTCTAACAAAAAATTCTAGTCCTATATATCTTCAGAAATATTTTTTCCTGAGTGTTTGAAACATTTTTACCATTGCCTATATCATTAAGCTTGTTTTCCTGAGTGTTTGAAACATTTTTACCATTGCCTATATCATTAAGCTTGTTTTCCTGAATGTTTGAAACATTTTTACCATTGCCTATATCATTAAGCTTGTTTTCCTGAGTGTTAAACAGTAGATTTTTACCATTGCCTATATCATTAAGCATGTTTTCCTGAGTGTTAAACAGTAGATTTTTACCATTGCCTATATCATTAAGCTAGTTTTTAAAAAAGTCTAATTCTAGGTTTATCTTCAAGTATACTTGGTTTTGTGTTTGTAAGAATTTTGAAAATTTATGTCTTAGGACTAATCATTAATTGCTGCATCAAGACTGTTTATAACCAGTCCAAACCTTGACACGAGCCGTACTGAAAGTGTGTCATGAGATAACAAACATGTTGGGCTAAACAATGACATTGGTAGTTGATATACTTGAATGTGGAGAAACTTTTATCAGCTTACCTTACAAACCAATATGCATTCCACTTATTGTGGTAGTTCAAACAAAGCCATGGAAACACAGTTGTTAGAAATTTATAGATTTAGAAATTAAAACTTGTTTTTTTTTTTTTGTCACAATGTTTATGCATAATTGTTACCAATAACTTTAACACTAAATCGTGAAAAATTTCTGCAACATATGAGAACCAAAACCAAGGTATATAATAATAATGAAAAGAACAGTTTTAACCTGTCATATTGTATCTCTCATCAGCAAGAATACAAAAACCACTTGCCATAGGTATTTTCTACAAAGTTAATTGTCTAATTAATCATTTTTAAATTTGATTAACACTAGTTACGAATGTGTTTACTTGTTACAGATATGTTTACTTGTTACAGATATGTTTACGTGTTACCGATGTGTTTACTAGTTACAGATGTGTTTACTTGTTATAAATGTGTTTACTTGTTACCAATGTGTTTACTTGTTACGGATGTGTTTACTTGTTACAAATGCGTTTACTTGTTACGGATGTGTTTACTTGTTACGGATGTGTTTACAAGTTACGGATGTGTTTACTTGTAATTCTTCCTGTCACAAAAAAATTATAGAGTATCACTTATGATTTTGAACAACTCATTTAATTAAAGTTTAATTTTATTTTATTTTTTTCATTTTCGCTTCCAACAAAGCTGCCAGGAACCACTATTAGAGTTGGATGTTAATGGAAGAGAAAAGATGAAGTTTATAAAGCAATATAACAATTGACAGATGAGTTAAAGATTGCAAAGAACTGATGTTTGAGGAAAAAAACTAGACGAATAAGAAATTTTGGACAAGTAACATGAAAATGAATCTTTGTAGATGTCAAGACAATAGAAGACAATAGCTCTTCAGAAAAGTGCCCATTATAGTATTTGTAAAAAGAGAAAGAGAAGCAACATTACGACAATGTGATAATGGTTGGAGGTTGGCTGCAAGAGCAACTCCAAAAATATTTACAATGCGTTTTTGCCCCTTGTTTAAAAGAGAAAGAGCATAATTAGAAGATCCGCCCCAGATATGGCAACAGTATTCCATACACAGACAGATTTAAGATTTATAGAGTTAAAGAATAGAGTTTGGAATAAAAAAGTGGCAAGCACGATAAAGAGACACAACCTTAGCAGATGTTAATTTTGCAATGGATTTGATATATGGTTTCCAAGAAAGATCAAAAGTAAGAGTTAATCCTAGAAGATAAAAGGCAGGTGACTCATCGAGTACATTATCGTTCATAACTATAGGAAGATCTATATTATTGCCATAACAATTGGTTAAAAAAAAATGGATTTTATCTAAATTAAAGTTCACCAGCCACTGAGAGCCCCATGCTGTAGTAAAAGTGAGATCATTTTCAAACTTAAATGTCTCCTCCAAGCAATCAGAGTGTGTTGGCTTCTTATCAAGACTAAATAAATAATAAATAACAGTATCATAAGTAATAAATATGTAGTATATAATATATGGTTGTATAATAAGCGTATATGGTAGTAAAATAAGAATAAATGTATTATAAACGAACAATGCCATACTTTTTTTAATTTACGTTAACAATCTTTGAGATAAAAAAGTATAGAGCCAAGAATAAAACCTTGAAGAACCGCTTAAGTTAAAGGGTATGAAAAAAAGTGCTGTCCATCTTGACAACTTTTATACTACGATTGCAAAGAAAGGATTCAATAATCTTAAAGATGTTACCTAATACACCATAAGAAGAAAGCTTATGCAGAAGACCAGCATGCCAAACTTTATCAAAAGTTTTAGAAATGTCAAGATATGGGGTAGTGAAATAATGATAGAGGGCTTGCTTCATAAGCAAGAAGTTCCAAGTTTGATCCCCATCTTGCCCCTGGTAGTACCACGGTCAACTTGTTTCTCTGCACAGCAGCCTTGTTCGTCAAGATTTTTTTTGGATTTATAGAGTTAAGAGAGGGTTATAACCACAATTAAGTAGCCTCCTTGTCTGTAGTGGCCTTCTCAGCTTTGGGAAGGTGAATTAACAACAACAATAAAAAAAAGCAACAGCCTTAGCCTCTTCACCTCTATCTAATGCACAATGAAACCTTTGGGTTATCACTGTTAGCAAATCAGCTGTAGAATGAGAAGATCAATTTTTATATTGATGATCAGAAAGTAAGTTGTTAGAATCAAGATAGGAGATTAAGTATTTGTTAATTAAAGACTCAAAAACTTTGCTTATGATAGGAAGAAGACTAATGGGACAATAATTAGATGAGTTAGACCGCTCACCAGAATTTTTGTAAATAGAGATAATAAATGCCGCTTTCCAGCAGGCTGGAAAACAAGACTAAGATAAGCGCTTGTTAAATAGTTTTGAAAGTATAGGCGACAGCTCTGGAGAACACTCCTGCAAGACTTTTACAGGTATGTTCTCCGGATCACAAGCTGTAGAAGAAACTAAGCAGGAAATCACTTTAGATACAGAAGCTGGAGTCATACGAATGTCAAGCAATGGATCAACCTGTTTGAGGCTATATCAGGTAGAACACAACTAGTAGAATCGAGAGATGATACTTAAAAAAAGTTCTTAGCAAATAATTCAGCTTTGTCTTTAAGTGAAGTGACAAAGTCTGAACCACACAAGAGAGGTGGAACTACAGATTTGCCCTTATTATTAATACTGTAAAAGACTCTTCAGAAGTAACAAGAGCCTAATTTTTGAGATGAAATATGAGATTTC